GGGGGTGATAGTACAACACCCGCAAAGACCTACTGTTTCCGCAGACTCCCGCATACCCATGGCACCGCTCCTATTCGGCAAGCCTAGTCTCCACATGGGGGGCCTGCGGCGTGTGCAGACGGGCCATAGGATGGGTGAGACTCAGCCGAGAGACTGCCATTTCAAGGCCTGGGCTGGCTGGCGGCCGGCCGTCTGTGCGTCTCTCTTTCTGCGTCCGCCGCGGGAGCGAAAGTGAGAAAGGCGGACCGGCGGAGGGAGGTGCCCCCACAGTATCACATCAAGGCAACGAGGCATTCCTCGGCTCTCGTCTAGCCCACAGGCTCACGCCCGTAAGGAATGGCTATGTGGTCAGGGGGTTTATGGCCATGGAGCACGGGATCCATGTTCGTCAAAGGTCGTATTTCTTGCGCATGACAGCTGTCAGGAGATAGCGCTCAGTGCATATTCTGGGCGTCTACCCTGGTGGATAGCTCTTGTTACATCCTTCTCGTGCGCCCTCTGCTTGGTCAAGTTACGCCTGGGCCAGACAAGGTCAACCCCGCCCTTTCGAAATTGCGCATCGCCGTCTTGGCCCCATCCTCGCTCTCACACACACCCAGATCGAAGGGTTAGATAAGTGGCGAGAGTCGGGGCTGCACTTTGGCGTCGTCGTGGCTGCACTTTGGCGTCGTCGTGGCACAGGCACACACACACCGGACACTACCCGTGTGGGCCGCAGCACCACGACACACGGAGAACGCCATCTGGCAAGTGGACGGATACCTGGGAAGTGTTAAAAAAAAGGAAAGAGTACGTTCCATCAGGCGAGCTGCATGACGAGCTTCCGAGAAGGGGTCGCGGAAGCGAGGTGTAGCCTGCGGCTCTGCCGTTGGGTGCAGCCGCAATCTTGCTGTTCTCCCTCTCCCCTCCCTTCCCCGGCGGAAACAAGCATTTCATCCGCCGCAATGGCGGATGTAGCGCGCCTACGGTTCTGGCTGCGGGAGGGAGCTTGTGTTCGTTTGCATCATGCGTGGGAGTTGTAGCCTTGTTGTAGAGGCGGCTGCGGGGTGGGGGGCTGCTTATGGAGAGAGGGCTTCGAGTTTAGGTGAGGGGTGGCAGTCGAGGAAAGTTTGAGAGTGAACATGGGAAGGTTAGAAAGAATGGGCGAGGGGGCTGGTTGAAGAGCTTCTATAATATATAATATGACAACAGAGATCACATATCTCGAAAACCACCCTGAAACCGCAGGCCCAGAGCCTCACACACCAACGTAAACAAGCGCAGAGGTAGATCGGGGATACAAAGACGGCCACTGCGGAATTACTTGGCCCACCCAAGCACGATTATACCGTCTCACCATGCGCGGGATGTTTAGCGAGCCATGCGTAACCTATTGCCTTGTCCTCTCGGGCGAGTTAAGTACGATGGGCGTGGGGACACCAGACGGAAAGGGAAGACTCCTGCTGCAACCCGCGGTCGCACGCCACGACAGGGACAGCACAGCCAATTAGCGCAGGGGGTGCTGTCGCCCTGGGGGTGTGGGTTGGGTTATTTGTGAAACTGGTGATGGGGGTTATCTCAATACTTGACTGCCCATAGGTAGGTGGTGCCTGGGTGGGCACATGGGAAGCAACCTTGTTCTATGTATTGAGGGGTAGAGATCCAAGGTCAAGGATGAACTTGAATAGACGCAACAAAGGAACGATTCGACTTGGAATGTGTCTCATTGACTTCTGCTTCGGGCCGCCAATTTAGCCTCACATGAACCACCCTGTAGTTTCGTTGCAAAATCAAGTCTTTATCCAACAAAGAAAAACACACGCCCCACCGCCATCCTTCCTTGTCTTACAGATCCCTCCCTTTACTCTAACCTAGCTTCTGCAGGCTGGTAGCGCGCATGTTGGCCCTGATCTTCTCCTCCTCGACGGGGTCGACCTCGTTGGCCCAAGCAATATCTCTGCCCTGGGGCTGGCCGGCGCCGTTGGTGTTGTTGTTGTTGTACTGCGGCAGGCCCTGGATCTTCTGGCCGTCAAAGATGACGGTGCGGCGGTTGTTGGGCACGGGCCGGCTGAAGCGGTTGTAGGCGACAAAGTACTCGCCGTCGGAGCTGTCGACGCGGGCGTTTGCAGGCGGGGCGACGTGCTCGCTCTTGCGGCGCACCTGCACGGCGTCGTCGGTCACGGGCTCGACCCCCATGGCCCTGTAGGCCATGTTGAGGGCCGGGATGGACAGGCCGTGCACGACGATGCTGAAGAGCACCAGGAAGTAGACGCACGGCACCAGGGCGCGCACGAGGTCGTCGGACCGCTGGTCGCCCGTCTCGCCCACGCGCGGGAACAGGTGCTTGGTGTGCTCGACGTAGAAGATGGCGCCGACGCCGATGGGGCCGAACTGGATGGACGTGAAGCAGTCAGCATGGGGAAGGAAGGAGACTCGAAAAAAGAAAAAAAGAGGTGGCGGATGAAACTCACGTAGCCCATAAACAGAGCCTCCTTCCAGTTCTTGACGCACGTCGGCAAGGCCTTGTACAGCAGCATTATGGCGGGGATGCGGCGGAAGAGCAGGACCAGGAAGCCGAGGCCGATGAGGCGGCCGATGGTGATGCCGGTGCCCTCGGGGTCGTGGAAGGTGGACCACGGCATGATGACGCCGACGTACATGAAGCCGGTAAAGTTGAGGAGCACGTCGATGCTCGAGTTGACCTCGTCGTGGCGCTCGAGCGTCTCGGCCAGGTACTCGCCGTCCCAGTTGAGGGCGAGGCCGGCGCAGAAGCAGGCCAGCAGGTCGTTTGTGCCCAGCGCGCCCGCGGTGCCGATGATGAACAGCGCCAGCGCCACGGGGAAGAGCAGGTAGCTCTCGTGGTCGATCCACTTGCGGCGCAGGCAGAACTTGATGCCGCAGCTGCCGCCGTACCCGACCAGGACGCCGTAGGGCAGCGACATGAAGATGGTGTACAGCCACGTGTCGACGACCCAGTCGCGCATGGCGGCGCCGAAGCCGCCGTCGAGGCGGCCGATGTCGCCCGCACGCTTGAGGAGGCGGTGCGCCACCTCGGCAGCGGCCTCCTTGACCTTCTCCTTGGACGGCTTCAGCACGACGCCCGGGAGTTCGGTGTGGCGCATCAGGTGGGTGGCCAGCATCAGGAAGGGGAAGCCGAAGCCGTCGTTGGCGCCGGCCTCGGCGCTGATGACCTCGCGCAGGGCGCGCGGCACGTACTTGTCGGCAAAGGGGCCCTTGGCGATGGCCTGACTCAGCACGGGGTCGGTCATGGTGACGCAGGCGCCGATGGCGAGGCCGGCCAGGAGGGTGATCTTGGGGATGGTGGCGAGCAGGCAGGCCGTGGTGCAGAGCCACATGAGCGTCATGGTGGGCAGCAGCAGCACCAGCATGTCGCGCCACTTCTTGACGGCGTACTTTGCCGGCAGCTGGTAGCCCGCGATGATCAGCTGCACCGAGATCATGACGCGCATGAAGCCGAGCGTGATGGCGCTCTTCTGGTCCTCGGTGAGGGACCCGGGCCCCCACCGCGTGTTATCCAGCAGGCGGCCGGCGATGGGGCCCAGCACGATGCCGATGGTCATGGCCGGGACTGCATTGTGGTTGTTAGCCAAGCCCTGGAAGGCGTGGGTGGCGAGTGGCGGCTGCCAGGAAAAGGCAAAAAAAAAAAAAAAAAAATACACTTACGAGCCTCTCCCAGAAACCATCTTCCCTTGATGAGAACCGAGAACAAGCCAAAGATGGTGATATAAGCACCTGTCATGCGAAAAGCTTGGGTTAGCATACCACATACCACCCACACCACTCTGAGGAACGTCGACAGCATCCAAGCCCCCAAGACTCGGTGACATGCAGGAGGCTGCTGTGCTGATTGGGTAGCGGGATCTGGGCGCCCAGGCACGGTGAACCCTGCCCAGCCTTGGGCCAAGGTCATGGGGACGGGCCGTGTCTATTCTGGAACCACCCTGCCATTCTGTACGGCATGCAAGGCTTGGATGCTCAGGGGAGGGTGTTCTGGGCCCTGCGTACCAAGGATGGCTACAACAATGTTCAACTCGCTCGGGTCGAGGGTGGGCGCCATGTTGTCGGCTTCTACTGCACGAGGCAGGTGAGACCGTGTGGCTGGATGGTGTCAAGGGTGCGCTACTCGGTCCGGATTCCAGGACGCAGTCGTGCCTGTTGGTCTCTCAGTCTCGAGCCGGGAGAGAGGGCCGGCAGCAGCTCCTTATTAAGAAGGAAAACAGGTCTAACAAAATGCCGCAGTGGCGCCGCCGCCCATCAAGTGTCAGAGCTACTGTCGTTCCTTGCTTCAGAGGGCAAGCGTGGGATACCGCTCTATAGTGGAGGGCATGTTGGCGTGCAGGTGAGGGTTGTGGGGGGGGGGTGGTGGCTCGATGCCGAGAACTCACGCGAGATGTAGTGGAACGACGCCCAGACCAGACTGCAGAGGGACGAAGATGACGATCCGCAGGAAAATTGACTAAGAAAAGCAAGCCCAAGACTGGGAGAGGGGAGGACCAAGAAAAGAAGACTAAAAAAGGAAAGTCGATCTAGGATCCGCCGGGGACTAGAATGACGACAAGAATAAAAGACCTAACGGGAAGAGGTGAAGAGAAGGGGAAAAATGGAAGCCAGTCCTGGGCTGAGAGAAGGTCAAGAACTGCTAGCTGTGCTCCCACATAGCACACACACACACTCTCTCTCTCTCTCTCTTTCTCCTGGAAGATCAAGAAAAGTAGGGAGGGACAAGAAGAGCGCCAACAACGCAGGGGCGCTGGCTGTGATAAATATGGCCCGGCATTGCTGGTGTCGATCAAGGCATGGCGCCTTGTCTCTTTGATCCCGCGCCCGGGCCCATGGCAGCGGCCTTGCTAGGGGGAGAGCGCGTTCCTCACCTCCCGGCTCTTCCTGCTTTCTGTGTTTGTGTGTAACGTGGGGCTCGTGGCGAACAGCAGTACCTACATGGCATGGCAGACAAAGAACAGGCCCTTTGCACAAAAGTCCAAAGTCCCCATGGGCTGTTTCGACTACTAAGGGCGTAGCAGCTTTGTCCCTCTAGCGTACCGCCCGGGGTGGGAAGGTGGGAGCTGCGGGAGGAGGCGGATACCTCGAGGCTACATGCTATACCCTGAGCTTGCTAGCCCAGACGACACCCCCATTTCCCCTACCCTGGTGAAACCCGCCGAAGAGAGCAGCGCCCTCGAGTGCGGAGCCAGCTGGACCCAGTCGATTGGACAGCCATGGGCAAAAGTAAGGAAGACATCGGAAAGTACGGTGTCCGGGTAGAAAACCCCATCGCCGGTTCAGAGTGTGAACTTGATATCGGAGGAGGATTTGATATGCAGGGCCAGGGTGCGTGGGAGAAGGGGGCCCACCGGGGGCATCCACAGAGGGTCCCAGGGCTCGTGCCAGGTGGTGTCTGAGCCTGTGACTGCACCGTAGAATTTGTGAATGATGATGAAATTCCCGTCATCAAGTCAAAGTTGGGATGGATTTGACCTTGGCCACGACCAAACACCAGATATCAACCAGCCGGGCCGCAGAGAAGGGCCCTGTCGAGGGGAGCGCTCATCTTGGACAGACACAGGGAATGAAGGCGATCCAAACCGCCAAGGCCGGCCCAAGGCCGTGCCAAGGCTGGGCGCGACAGCTCCCAAGACCGGCCCAAGGACAGCCAAGCACCATGGCATTCTTGGCAAATGGCAAGCGCCAAGATGGGCAATTCAGGAAAATGCCCTTTGGGTCGTCTGCCAGGTCACTGACAGGGTGCGACAGCCGCCTTCGCTTAGCCCTGTGCCGACGTGTTCTGTGCTGCGTTGAGCCATGACATCTCACCCATCTTTGAGGGAACCCATGACCTCGGTGTTCCTCGCAGGCGCATCATTATCACTTGACCAGTGAAGTGCTCCTGCCTGCGCCAACTTGGGACACTCATAATTCCTCCGTCTGGCCACACGGTGGTCTTTTTCGCCCAGAAAAGTCCAAGAAACGCCGCCGTCGCGGCCGATGCAGCCGTCAATCAGGGGCTTCTTGTCCGTCTCACCATGTCCGCAACCGCGCCTTGTCCTTTGCTTCTTGCGCGCGCTCTTGGCCCATCCACAGCCCTCCCCCAGCCGCCCTCCCTCCAGCGGCCAATGGCGAGGCCGTTGGGGCCGACGTCCTTGCCCCCGGGGGGTCCGCCCCCCCTGGACCCATCGGCGCCGAGAGGTCTTGGACAGTCGCTCATGCAGGCGCCACGGCGCGCCTTGACACTCCTCGGCGCTCGGCGCCGCGGCGGGCCCCACCTATGGCAGGTTGACCCTGCCGCCCAGATCCCCCTGACCTGCGTCCAGCCGCCTTTGTGTTTCGAGACGCCAGCATCTCTTTCCAAACAAAAACAAACAAGAATGAGGGAGAAGAAGGAGAAGGGGAAGAAAAAAGGGGCAGCATGTCCGGACTAAGGGGGCGGTTGCTGATGACGAGGGAAAGCCAGGATGGCGGGCGGGTGCCATCGCCACTATGGAACCCGTTTCCGTTAGAACAGCATGGGCCCGCCGCGATGGCTCTCCCAAACGATCCCCCGAACCTCTGGTAAGGGCAAGACCCTGTGAACGATATCCCGGTGACTTTCCGCCTGCTTGCCATCGTCTCTCCTTTCTCACAGAGAAACACCCATCATGGGTGTATCGTGAGAAGGATGTTTCTTATACACAGTAAAAGGGGTCGATAAAGCACAGAAATAGGTATACATCTATACACAGTCATCCTCACACAAGCGAACCCATTCCACGAAACACGCTCTAGTCTACAAGTCCTTGACGGCCCAGCCAACCCTGGGGTCTCTCGCCGGCCGGGCGTCCTCAAAGATGACATAGGCGGCTTTTATTGCGGCGTCGCCCAGGATGGAGATCTTCTGGCCCAGGGAGGTGAGCGACTCCTGCACGGCGCCGAAGCACTCGTTCCTCGCGGCATCGTTGACGGAAAAGTTGACGTAGCTGCCCGGTATCGTCACCATCCTGGCCATGGCGCCGCCGACGCCGTCGTCGACGGCGAGCGACAGGTCCGGCACGGCCGCGTCGCAGGGGAACACCCAGCCGCCCGACGGCGCGTCGACGCGCGCGCCCGGCACCCGCGCGTACAGGTCCCGCACCACGACTTCGTCCAGGTACATGATGGTGGTGCCCGTGTCGACGACGGTGTCGAAGCGCCTCTCGTTGAACTCGAGCGGCGGGCTGCCGCCACCGCCACCGCCACCGCCGCCGACGGCGTAGCCCGCCAGCGTGACGTTCCAGCGCGTGTACGCCTCGCCCCGGACGGGGAACTGGTTGACGGGCACCCAGAGGACGTCGCCCTTGTACCGGCCCGGCGGCACGACGCCAAAGTCGAAGAGGCCCGCCCGCCCCATCTTGAGGTCGGCGGCGTAGACGGGCTCGGGCAGCGACGCCTTGATGGCCTGGAAGAAGTTCTTGGGCCGCGTGGCGTTGGCGGGCCGCGTGGCGTCGAACGGGTCCAGGCTGAGGCCCATGATGCCGTCGTAGGGGCTCGTGACGAAGTTGGGCGTCGCGTTGGTGGCAGGCAGGACGGCCTGGTCCTGCACCACGACGCCGTCGGCCACCCGCACCACGTCTCTGTAGGCGGCTGTCCCCGAGGCCGAGTCGCCGGCGGCGTAGCTCTTGGCCCACGTGAGGCCGGGTATAAGGTTCGCCGTCGTGCTACTGGCCGGGCGGTAGAGGGAGTGGTTCTCGGCCTTGACGCCGTCGGCGTAGACCCAGAACTCGGCCGAGCCCGAGTCCATCTGCACGTGCACCGTCTGGGGCGGGCTCCCGATCTGGATGGGCGTGAGCCACTCGGTGTCGTTGCGCGAGTTGGGCGAGTTGGCCGTCCCCTGCCTCCTGGTCAGGCTCCCGGACGAGCCGCTGCCGCCCTCGACCGCCGCGGCCAGCTCGGCGGGCACGTCGGCACCGTAGCGGAGGTGGGTCATGTAGACTGACCAGGGGCCGCTCTGGACCTGGGCCAGGTCCCGCCTGGCCGGCTTGGCAACCTGGTGGAGGGTGAAGCCGCCGCCATCGGGCTGCCGCCTGACCGAAGGATTGGCGGTGGCGGCGGCGGCGCTCAAGGCCGCGAGCGCGACGAAAGCCTGGGAAAGGCAAGGCATTTGTGGTCCCCTAAATGTGCGGTTGTCGACAAGAGGGCGCTGATGAAACGGACGAGAGAGCAGCTAACTTTTGCAGCAGACGGGCCTTTTATAGGTCTGGGCGCCGACCCAGCTCCCCGGGACGTTTTGCCTCAACAGGCTGGCATTGGCCCTGTATGAGACGGCGACAGCAAACCGGGGTCGCAAACCCCAGATGCTCACTTTGGGATCTGATTCGTAGCATCAGGGGTCCGTGAGAGTGATTGCCCAAAAGTATCGTCAGAATTGGGGGCAGTGACACTGTTTTGGAAGGATATGCCGGCGAAGCACGTCGCCTTGAACAGCCGCATTACTCGTGGCCGGCCAGGATGGCAGGCCAGCACCGCGTTTCCTCTCGTTAATTTCGTCTTGGTAGACCAGAGAAGTGTCTCCAGCCCTTAATGCGAGGGTTGTGCACGAGGCTTAAATAGAATAAAAAGTGAAGGAACTTCTAGAATACCATGATTAATTTGCATCAGTGTGAAATTGTCGGGACCAAGTGCAAGGTAAAAATTAAAGTTTAGAAAAAGTGTGGATGGAAAGAGAGAGCGCACGGCTGAAAGTCATAATTACAATTGCCACATCTTGTTTCTCATTGGAAAACTAACGTCCGCCAAAAAGTTTCAAACTCACCCAATACGCCATCGACAAATTCATCTCCGGAACATACCCCCAAAGTCACAAAGCTGCAAAGGCCCAGCGCACAATGACACCAGCCTCGCATCCCGGGACCGCGGCCTACGATCGCCTGGGCGATACCAGACCCTCCACGGCCACCTACAACCATTCCGCCCTGAAAGCCGCCTAATCAGAACCAAGCTCACCATGCACGCATTTCTAGTCTCGTGCCTCGCGGCATGGGCAGCCCTGGCGGGCCTCGCGGCCGCAGGACCCCCCGTGGGCGGGGCCAAGGCGACGGCGGACGTCAACCCCCTTGGCGGCGTCTGCCTCGCGCAGTGGTACCCGCGGGGCAGCAGCAGCAGCAGCAGCAGCAGCAGCAACAAGGCCAGCAACATGCTGAGCTACCACACGCGCGGCGACGGCAGCATCTTCGAGTCTCGCATGCACGCCAACGGCGGGTGGATCAAGGCGGTGCCCGTGGTGCTGGCGGACGCAGGGAACCGGACCGCCGGCAACGCCAGTGTCGCGCGCGCCTGGACCGGCGGCGGCCCGCTCGCGTGCGCCGCCGAGGCGGTCGGCGACGGGCCCGACGACTTCCAGGTCCGGCTCTTCTACCAGCGCGCCGCCGAGGACGCCGGCGGGCCCGTCCAGCTGCACTCGATCGTGTGGAAGAAGGACGCGGGATGGTAAGGTTGAGCACCCACCCACCCACCACCCCCCGAAAACGAGAGAACCGACACTAAACACCGAACTCGCCGAGCAAACAGGAGAAACGACGAGGCCTTCAACAAACTCTTCGGACGCCCCGCCTCGGCCGGCGCGGCCATCAAGTGGGCGGACCCCAAGACGGGCGACGTCGACTGGCGGCTCTACTACGTGCTCTACGACCGGGCGCCGTACGGCACGACGCGCGTGCGCGCCCGCATCCACGAGGCCGTCCTGCGCACGCGCGGCGCCGACGGCGAGCCGCTGAGCTGGCGGCCCGGCAGCGACGGCAAGCCCGTGGCGTCACTCCTGCTCCGGGCGGGGCAGGCCGCCTCGGTGGCCGCCGCGGCGCTGCGCGGGGGCCGGCAAATCTCGCTGGTGGCGTGGACGCTGCGGCCCGAGGAGGAGGAGCCCGGCAGCTACAGGCACGGCCGCATCGTCCGGCGGCCCGGCGCGATCCAGGAGACGCGGTGGACGCTCGAGACGAGGGCGTGGGAGTCGCGGACGCAGCAGCTGGTCGACTGGGGCTTCCCCGACGTGGGCGTGCTGGCCGCGGCGGCGTACCGCGAGCGCGGCGCCAACGGCGGCCGCGAGCTGCTGCTGACGCTGGCCAAGCACGCCGAGCCCACCAACGCCTTCGTCGGCAACTCGGCCGTGCTGCAGCTCGTGTCGGGCCCCGGCCTGTGGACGAAGTTGATGCCGCCGGCGCCGGGCTGGCTCGCCGCCGAGACGGCCGCGTCGTCGCAGATGGCGGCCGCGTCGTGGCTGGACGGCGTCGACGGCCAGGACGTGCGCATCACGCTCCATTATGTCGCCTGCGACGTGCCCGACTACGTCTACGAGGGGAAGCCGTGTAACTACGTCATTAAGGAGGCGCAAAGGAACTCGGAAAGTGCAAATGCTTTTGCGTGGACCGATAGCTTTGTGGTGTCGACCTAGATGAGTTGTTGGTGGTGTTGTTGTGTACTTAGCCCGCAGTAGACTCGCTGTAAGCACCAACAATAGTGGTGCTCAACAAACACGTTTTTGACCTCTAAAAGTTTGATGATTAGGATATTGTTTTCAAAAACCTAGCTGTCGCTGTGGTCACGCGCTTACCTTGGCTTGGTCTCTATTCACGCTCCTCGCGGCGCCCGTGCTTGCTTTTGTGGGTCCCGTCACCACCACCAACCCACCAACCGCTACCTACCTTCCTCCATTGTGATGCAATCAGACTTTATACCATCCAGTCGCCTTGTCGCATCTCGGGCCAACCCTTTCCGCTTCAAAACAACACAATGACATCTCCGCAAAGCTCGGCCCCGGATAGGCTCAAAACCTGGCACGATGGAACCGAACATCTCGCCATCAATGACACACCGACGCGCAGGATCTTGACCCGCCTCGCCGTCCGCCTCACCACTCTCCTACGCCCCAAGTCCCGCAACGGGGCCTGCATCTTCGTGTCCAAAAACATGGTGGTCAAGATGGGCTTCCGCGTGCACCTGCAGGAGGCCGCGGCCATGAGGTTCGTCGCAGAGCACGCGCCGGGCGTGCCGCTGCCCAAGGTCTACTGCGCCTTTGTGCACAAGCACCGCGCATACATCGTCATGGAGCGCGTCCACGGCGAGTCGCTGGCCAAAGCCCGGACCCGCCTGGCCAAGGACCGGCGCGCGGCCGACAAGATCTTCGGCCAGCTGCGCCGGATCCTCGACGGGCTGCGGGCGCTGCCTCCGCCTCCTGGCGCCGGCGTGCAGAGCTGCAACGGAGGGCCCCTTCGCGATACCCGCATCCCGATGGCGTTTCCCGAGTTTGGGCCCTTTCGGACGGTGCACGATTTCCATAGGTGGCTCCGCGAGGACTTTCAAACGTCGGAGCGCCCCGAGAACTTCCAAGGCGACGAGCAGGACTGGCTCGATCTTGAAGAGATGACTGCGATGCAGGACGGACCCTGGCCGGCGCCGGTTTTCACTCACGGAGACCTTAATCAGAGCAACATCATAGTCCGCGGCGACGAGGTCGTCGCCATCATCGACTGGGAATTCTCTGGGTGGTACCCCGTTTATTGGGAGTACACGTCCGCCTGGACCACACACATCCTAAACACAGAGTGGCAGGGCGCAATCCCCCGATTCCTGGAGCCGCATCCTGGAGCGCTGAAAATGGAGCGCACTAGGCAAAGGTGGTGGGGAGATATTTGACATCATCCTTCTCGGCTGGGCGCTTGCGAGGCGCTTGGGCGTCTTGCTGCCGTCCAAACGCTCAGCCCAACACGCATCAATTTGCCGGCCGACTGCGCAGGGTTTTCGAAGTTACCTTTGTGATTGTCTCGTACAATCCTAGTGGGGTTGTCCGTGTCGGGCTCCCCAAGCTGGCATACCACAATGATCAGCTGCCTGTATTTTATGTATATATATATTCTTCGTTTTCGTTCCGGTTCTGTGTCTTCTTTCCCTCCCAAGTTATATTTACTTCAGTTTGTGTCGTCCCCTTTCTACCGTTTCGGTCATCCACCAGCGCCTCTTCTCCTCTCCAATTTCTGCCCCTCTCTCCACCACCTAACGCCATGGTTTCCAACAAGAAGCGTCTGTACATCGCCCTCTACCCCAGCGGTGTCGTTAACAACGAGGAAAGACGGTTCGTTTCTATCCAACAACATGATCCCGGACCGCCAGCTACCGACGTATTTCAGAACAGATTTGCTAATCCTCAAACCCACCTCATCGCGGCAGCTATCACTGGGGGTTCCTCGTGGGGCCCAAGGACGAGAAGTCGGAAGAGGTGCCCGGGGCGCGCTACCACGTCAGGAACATGCCTGTCCGCGGTTGGATATACGAGGAGAGACAACTCGATAACGTCCGCGGCACCGCCAGCCTCCTCACCCGCATCGTCATCGCCAAAATCACGGACGAACAGCGCCTGGTCGAAATCTTGCGCAACAACCCCGTCGTTCAGCACGACCCAAACTGGCGGTGCCGCACCTGGGTTGCACAGGCGCTCAGGGCCATCGAGCAGGACGGCAAGTGCGTCGGCTCCGCCGTCCTAGACTGGGAGACCATCGAGGCCACGGCGAGGGAGTACACCGCCACCAAGGCCGGCGAAGGGCGCTTCGACACCGGAGACATGCTCATGCCCAAGCCTACATGGGACATGCTTGAGAATCGCGAGGTGGTTCCCTAAAAAGGAAGGCAGTCTTACAGATCCCAAAGGTGAAATAAAATTGTTTGTGCCGTAAAATTTCCTATGTAGCTTTCCTCTATGAGATTTCCCATGTGAGCTTTCCTATTTGAGCTTCCTTACTTTTTTACCCTTCCCATTCCTGAAAGGTCTGGGTCCGGGACTCAAGGGAACATTGAAATGCCCGCTAAAGTCCAAGAGGAAGGAGAAGCTGGTCAGGTATCTTTTTATATTTTACAATTCAAGCATTTCCCACTCTTTCCCTTTGGTTACATGTCCTTCATATATATATCAATTCTAAACGGCCGAATCCCCCACAGTATCAGACACGCATGCACCTTCCCTCACTCCCACGCCCGCTCCGACCGAAACGCCCTGGGAAACCACTCGGGCGCGCGCCCTTCGGTCATCATGTGCACCAACGCCTCGGAGCTGCGCGAGGCCCAGGCCATGCCGTGGCCGTTCATGCAGACCGTGGCCCACAGGCCGTCCTCACCCGGCACGCCGCCGACCAGGGGCAGGCCGTCCGGGGTGTCGCAGCAGATGCCGGTCCAGTGCGCCAGCACCTCGGTGGTCTCGCCCCAGCTCCTGTGGCCGTACGCGACGCGCCCGACGGCGGCCAGGTGCGAGGCCATGTCGGCGTTGACCACCGTGTCGTCCGTCAGGTTGAGCTCGCGCGACGGCGAGAACTTCTTGCCGCCCCCGATCACGAGGTCCCCCTCCCCGCGCTCGCCCGGCGGCCGCACCGTGATGTACTCGTTGCCGCTGTGCAGGTCCGGGTACGACGCGCTGTGGTGGAACACGTCCTTGTCGGTCGCGTAGGCCTCTGGGTGCACGGCCGTGGCCTGGTGTCGGTTCGGGGTCAGGAACTTTGTGCCCGCGAAGCCCTTGTGCAGCGCGCTGGTGTAGCCGTTGGTCGCGAGCACCACCTTGCCGCCCTTGACCGTCCCCCTGTCCGTCCGCACCTCCCACCCGCCCGTTGCGAGTTTGTTCAGGGCCAGGGCCGTCGTGTGCGTCTGCAGGTTCAGGCCCTTGCCCAGGGCGAGCTCGAGCATGGCGCAGACGGTGAGGTAGGGGTTGTGCATGCTGCCGCGCGACGTGATGGCGCCCAGGATCTCGGGCCAGCCCCAGTGGTCCCTGGCCGCCTTGCCGGCGTAGACCCTGCGGGTGTTGTTCTGGGGCACGTCGCCGGGCCGCCGGCGCTCCAGGTCGTTCATGACGTCGACGACCCTGACGGCGCCCTCGAAGGCCTCCTTGGTCCAGTACAGGTCCGCGCTCTCGACCTCGGCGAAGCCGCTGCTGACGTTGTGGGCGCGCACAAAGTCGCGCAGCTCGTCGACGCTCTCCTGCTCCAGGCGGCCGATGCGGAGGGCCTCGTCCTCGCCGTACGCGGCCGTCCACTTTTGCACCTGCTTCCAGTCGCCCGCCTTCACGTGCCCGCCGTTGCGGCCCGACGCGCCCGACGCGGCGGCGCGGGCCTCGAGCATCAGGATGGAGAGGGACGGGTCGCGCGACAGCAGCTTGTAGGCGACCGTGGTGCCCGAGACGCCCGAGCCGACGATGACGTAGTCGAAGGTCTGCGAGGTCGGCAGGTCCGGGGTGGTGCGCAGGTCGGCGATGCGGTGCGGCGGCATCTGCCAGTAGGCGGTCGTGGGGTTGGGGTGAGGGCCGCCAGGGAGGAGCGGCTGCTGGTCGCCGGCCTGTCTGGTGGAAAGGCGCGGCTCCGAAGGGACAGCGCCCGACCAGGCCGTCGGCACAAGGGAGCCGACGGCGACGAGTGTTGAGAGACGCCACATTATCACTGGGGAGAAGACGATGGGGAAGCCGCGGCTGGCTTGGGTTTGCAAGGTTTGGGGTAGAGACAGAGACGCAGCAGGGGAAGGGAAGACCACGGTTATGTACCTGCCACGAACGGCGTCATCGCTCTTCTCCCCATCGGCAGCAGGTCGGGGCGGGGCCGGAAAGGCTCCTCCCTCCCCCACCTACTACTGATAATACTCCGACTCCAGAGGCACTCCCCGCCCCAGGCTCCGCTCTGGCTGCGACGGTGACGTTGCTTTGTGCATGGTTCCAGGTGGCCGGGACCGCTGCCAGCCAGGATTTCCCCCGCCTGGTAGGCCTGGGACTGTTGTCTCGCCAAGCGCCGGCTTCGGCAGGCACTTGGTTTGGCTGTGGTTGTTGTTGGTTTTAGGTTGTGTCAATGTCAAAAGTGCAGGTAAGGAAAAGCTTTGGGATGGCACGTGGCTCGAGCTCCTGTAGTTGGAGGAGTCGGTTGTTTGATTGGCCAGCGTTTCGACGTGTCCCATGACCCGCATCCTCGCCGACGCCTGCGCTACCCCCGGCCGCTTCTTTTTTTTTTTTTGGCCTGCCGTCCACCGGCCCGCCCGGGCGCATGCAGGAAAAAGTCCCGGCCGTCCAAGTTACCGCCTGCAGCTGGACGTGGACGGCAACAGCTACAGCGGGCGCTTCTACTGCATGCTCGCGTCGCGCGGCTGCCCGCTCAAGGCCACGGCCTTTCGAGAGTGGCACGACGACCGCCTGGTCCCCTGGCTCCATTACGTGCCCGTGTCGCAGTCGCTCGAGGAGCTGCCGGAGCTGGTCCGCTTCCTGGCCGGCACGCGCGGCGGCGGCGACGTCGCCCGCGCCACCGCCGACGCCGGGAGGGAGTGGTACGACAGGGCCGTCGGTCCCCTTCACCAGAGCCTGTATCTGTACAGGCTCATGCTGGAGCTAGCCTAGCTCATGGACGAGGCGCGGTCCATGACGTAGCGCGGCCCTTTTGGCTGGTGGATGCGGTCATGAGGCAAAGTGTAAATACACACATACCTAGGCAGTAGCCATACTTAATATCTTGCTTCATTTCTCGGCATAGGCTAGCCGATCCTAATTTGGACAAGATAGTATTAGTCCCTAATTGATGCTCGATGAATCGGGCCTGTCAGTCCTAGCGCGAGCGGCTGGGGGTCGAGGCATCGGGTCTGGCTTCGCACTAATATGGTAGCTCGAGGACTAGACGCCACCGTCCACCCAACCCTAGGGAACAAAACCAGGTCTCTTGACTTCTGGTGCCATCACCCTCCCCTCCCCTCCCCCCCCCTTCCCCCTTTTGATTTCAGTTCTGCAAGTCACAGCCGCCTCACTTGAAGCCACCACGTCAGAAGCAGCACCCCCCCGGCGAAATTCCACAGCGGTTTCCTTCTGGCCTTTGGCCAATTCACCTTCACGGCACGGCAACGAAGAGACGGCAACAGAGGGCACGATGAGTTTCGTCGGCTCCATAACCCTCGACCAGCTGGCCGCGCTCGACATAACGGACAATTCCAACTGCGTGGCCTCCGCACGGGCCTACTTCATCGTGGCACTCATGGTTGTGGTCGTTGTGGTCGCCCTCAGGATCTATCTCCGGGCCAAGAATTTGCTGTGGAGCGACAGTGAGTTGAGAGGAAGCAGGATGCGATCGTGTCTTTGACACGGGGCGAGCTGGAAAAAGACAAAAGGCTGATACGGTGCTGAACCGCTTTTCGACGTCAGTTATAATCCTCCTGGCGGCGTGTTTCAACATCGCCTCCTCTGCGGTGGCTCTGGCCGGTATGTGCCCGGATCATGACCCCCCCTCCCCTACAGAAGACTCGGGAACTTGGCTCACGGCAGGGACAAAAAAAAACAGCCACATGGAAAGGCCTCGGACAGCACATCTGGAACCTGGGCCCGGACATCGGCCCCGGGCTGATCCCCAGGGTTGAGGGCCTGCTCTTCAACTTATTCCTGTTCTGCATATCGTACCACGTCTCGCTCGCCCTGGCCAAGGTGTCTCTTGTCCTGACCCTGGTGTCCGTCTTCGGGGCCAACGACCGGAAATTCCGCGTCTTCATGATAGGCGTCGGCGCCGTCGTCGCCGGCGCCGGCCTCGCGGCCACCTTTACCACCATCTTCTCCTGCGTCCCCGTGCAGGCCTTTTGGCAAGTCAACCTGATGAAGTCGGCGAGGTGCATTGACTACGTTTCATTGACCCAGTCCCTGACCTCCATCACCATCGTCACCGACCTCATAATATGCCTGGTGCCCATCCCGTACTGCTGGCGCCTGAGGCTCGCCCTTCGGCAGAGGATCTTCCTTTCCGTCGTTTTCGCAGGCGGCCTGCTGTAAGCCACCTTGGGGCGCCGCCCTCCTTCCTGGGAACAAAGCCCGCAACCCTGACATCTTTGCCTCTTTAGAGCTTGCATAGGTGGCACGATGCGCCTGGTCCTCACCTACATCCATTCTATATACAACATCGATTTCACCTGTACGTGATGCGAGACCCCTTCCTCCCCCCCCCTCCTCCACCCCTTCGCAGAAGCAAACGTTGCGCAAGCTGACGGCCGAAAACGCACGCGCACGGGGCACCGGTGATGGTAGACAACGTGGTGGCTTATCTGACCTGGTCGAACCTCGAGGTCACGCTCGGCATCGTGTGCGCCTCGCTGCCTCGCCTGCGCCCGCTCTTCAGCTCCCTCGGCGCCCGCCTGACGGGTGGCGGCGGCAGCGGCGCCACGAAGAGCATCGGCAGCAAGAAGAGCAGCCGCGGCGGCGCGTGGTTGGAGATGGACCGGACCGAGGCGGCGACGAGCAACAGCCGAGGCGGCGACGGTGGCGAAGGCGGCGACAGCGGCGGCTACTACCCGTCTCGCGCGCCGGCGGTGCCCAGGACGGCTGGCTCCGGCCTGACGGTGATGCGACGCGACGGCCAGTACGGCCCCGGCGTCGCGCGCAAGAAGGAGGGCCCGCTGGCCGACGACACGGTCGAGCTGTGCGAGATCGACCTGACCCCGGGCGCCGGCGCCGGTGACCCCGACGGACGGGATGGCGGGGCGTCGTCGTTCGAGGCCGAGGAGGGGACGTCGCAACGCAGCTCTGAACACTCGCCCGAAGGCGGCGTTCCCGGGACCACGCTCTGCTGATCGCGTCCGAGGGAAACGGGCAAAGGGCAGGCAGCCAAAGAAAAAGGGACGACAAAACGTACGCCGCGCCTGGATACATGTGTCGAGATAGCGGAATCTGAGCAGGCCTTGATATCGGCCAGTTCAAGGTCGTACTCCTGGGCTCCGAACATTCATTACGGGCTTCTAGAAGCCGAGACAGAACATGCAATACTCAAACACCGACTTGATTTCTTCACCCTCTAGCTCGCAACTTTGACCCGAGAGAACGACAGTTCCCTTGAACTTTCATCCCCCATCCATGTAGGTTCGCGTAATCTCATGTGCAATCCCATGCTATACGTCTTCCCGCCCAGGCGAGAACCTGATTCACTCCATACTCAAACACGCCGGGATAAAAAGCGCAACCCAAAAGAAATCAAGTCTCCGAAGTTTTGTGCGTAAAATAAACAAGGGGTATCGTGACATAGCGCGCAAAATAATCAAAGACAAAACAACGGCAGCGAGATGGTCTCCCAGCCGGATGCCGCCAAGAAACAAAACGTGAATCGAAAGAGAGAAAAAGATACCCCAAATATGCAGGTAGGTCGCCATGTTGATAGATAGAAAGGGGCCCAGTCCGGGGCAATAGAGCCAGGTCTCGTCGGGTTAGTATACCGGAGCCGCGTCTGGATGCCAACCAAATTGATCGAGGAAGATAGGATTTTGTGTGACTTGTAACAGTCTGATTTTCAAGTTTTTTTTTTGTGCGATGTTGATGTGTTGTGGATGACATGGCAAGGAAAAGTTGTGAATGAGCGACTGTGGTCAGAGAGTGGGTGCAAGGAAAGTAGAGTGAAGTGAGTGTAAGGTTGTCTCAGTGTATTCTGGACGGTCGGTTTGTGCAAGGAAAGGGTCCAGTGAGGACAGGTGGGGGTGGTTTCGCTCGATTTGGCTGGCATCCTTTCATGGCATTTATTCCTGGTATACGTCACCTTGTATTTTTGGCCTGGATAGTCGCCCAGCGTCATGTCAAGTCTCCATATCTAGACGGATGGAGAAGTCTCAGACAGACGGTTGTCGGCCGCCCAGCTCTTCCTCTTAATGTCCGTCGACGACCTCGGTGACAGATCCAGCAAGCGAGCGCTGCCGGCGCTGATGTGTCGCGCGTGGGACTGGCCGAGGTTGATGCTGGTCGCTCTCTGCAGGCGGCCGACGTCCTCGGACGCATTGCTGTCGGGCGATACAGGCGACGTAGGGGATCCGGGCTCGCTGTTGTCACCCTGGGCAGTGACTGGCCTCACCATGTTAAGGAGACCCTCCCTGCTCTTGATGCGTCCTGCATGAGACGGCCGGATGACCTCGGGCTGCTTGCCGCTCACGGCTCCCCAGCGAGGATCGTCCTTCTCGTCACCCGAGGGCCTAAGCTCGCCAGAAGTCTCGTTATTGACCCAAGCTGCCGGATACCCCGTGCCTGAGGACCGGCTGGCGACCCTGTTGAGATACTCGTCGTCGGCAATCCCAGCCGAGTCGCCTGCGTTCTCGCCGGCTTCGGTCATGTCGTCGTCGGGACCTTCGAACATTTGCACGGGGCGCTGTTTGGCCTGCGAGGAAAGTCGGCCACTCTTGGCGCGGCCCGAAAGCCATGAGCCCTCGGAATCGATCGACGCCAGCGACATGGATTGCTGCGGCTCTGGAGATGGTTCAACTCCGTCTCTGAAAAGAGACGACGGCGTACGTCTCATATCGTCGGATGCAGGCGTGTCATAGCGGCGGCTGCCAGGGATATTGATGGGGGCAGTGGGGGCGGGCATCAAGCCCGCCGGAGGGGAGTCCTGCTCCATGATTACGGGTGGCACCACGTCAAAGTCGGGTGACTGTATCCGCGAGTCTGGGGGCGACAGAGGCAGCTCGGGAAGATCTTCCCGGAAGCGAGACCGTGTTCGCTTCGGGACTGAGGGCCCTCGGCCGGCAGCAACAGGCGGGATGAAGGTCACGTTGAAGGGAGAGATGTTTTGTGTTTGTGCCGGCGGTTGAGTCGACATGGAATCACGCGACGTGTTTGAGAAGGACGAAGGTCCCGAGCTTCGCTTTGTCCTAAGACCCCACTTGAAGAACGATGTCCACGACATGGGGCTTCGGTACGAAGCCTCAGATGCGTTGCGCGGGGTTCCTGATATGTCCGACTGCGCATTATCCGAGGGAGGTGACTTGGATCGTGACTTTTTGGAGCGCAAGAAGCCCTTGACCTTGGGGCTCCGTTCCTGCGCCAGAGGCATGACGGGCTCCTCGAGATGCTCCTTGCCGGGCGACGTCGGTTCCTCCGGGACGATGCTATCAACCCGGTGGAAGACATCCAGCGGACGCTGAGATTCCTCCATCTCGTCATTGGCGACGTTGGGGCTGTCGGAAGCAGCGTCCTCTGGGCGCCTCTCTGTCTTCTTTGCCGGGGAACCGCTGGATTGGCGTCGTCTGGAGGAAGTAACAACAGCCGAGGTTGTCTCGATTCCGAGACCGAGGGATTCGCGACCGAGCACGCCGCGCTCGAGGTTCGGTGGCGACTCTCTGCCCTTCGCGAGGGCTCGCCTCTCCTTCTCAGCCCGGCGGGCAAGCTTGCTCTCGATTTTCTCCCGTTCGCGCTCGCGCTTCCTCTCTCGCCTCCTCTTGTCGCGTTCCATAAGCTCTCGTAGGTCGCTGGCATCGAGATCGTCGGCGAGATCGTCAACTCGTTTGTGCGCCTTGAGTGTGGCCTCGGGGATCTGCGACCTGCCCGAGACCTTGCGCTTCTGGGAGTCGGACCGCGCGGGGGCGGCCCCAGTGATGGACTGAGAGGGTGTGCATCGTGGGTTCGCCGTGCGCCTCAGGGTGGGCTTGGGGGCGAGGACGTCAAAGGCCGAGACTTTGTAAGACACCTGCTCAGAGTCAGAGGACAGGCTCGAGTGGATCGACTCGGCAAGCGGGAGCGAGACGTCGGAAGGGTGTTGTTCCCTCTCCCAGGGGTTCTTCACAAAGGCGAAGCCTCCCGACCTGACGCGGCGGCTGCTGTCTTTCTTGAGGGGCCGTCCCGAAGTCCAGGCGTCGGTGGCAGGCCGTACCGGGGTGAAGTCTCGCAGGGCCTTGAGCTCGGCCTCGCGCTCGCGATCGTGCGAGTTCTTCCTCCGCTTGCTCAGTTTGCGCGACATTAGATGGCCGCCGTCGCGCTTCGTTGCGTAGAGTGTGGGGACACGGTCGAAGGGGGCATAGGCGCCGCCATCAGGCATGGGCGAGCCCGCCTCCTTATCCTCCTGTCCCGGTGGCAGCTGCGGACGGGGGCCGAGTGACGTGGCCGGGTTGGACCCTGTAGCGAGAGGCGGTGGTGGGGCCGTCCCCCGTTTAGATTTCCGGGTGCTTCCTCGTCGTCCGACCAGCATTTCATCCCTTCGTCCTGTCTCGAAGCTGTACGTCCTGGTCAGCCTCTGCAGTCTGCTCGGGCGCCGGTGGACGGCGTCAGCGCCGGGGAGTTGCTGCGCCGCATCGACGGGCAATGGTGAGAGTACGTCGTCCTGGGTTGAGGTGGCTAGAGTTGGGGGCGCAGTCTGTCTCCTCGGAAGATGCGCATCGTCTCCGTTGGCGGTGCGGATCGAGCGTTTCCTGCGCGTCCTCCTTCGGAAGAGCCACAGAGCCATTGCAGGCGGCGGGGTTGCGGCGTCCCCGCGGAGCCACTGGCTATACTATGCGAGGTTAAGCCTTTCCTGCTTGATTGCCCGCAGCCTCAATGCTGCGCGCCGGGGGTCCCGCTGCTGGCGGGATGAGATGGGATCCTGGGGTTCGCGTTGGAGAAGAGGGGCATCCTTATAGGCGCCGTCGTGGGGGTGGCTAGTACGGGAGTGAAGCGAGCGTCGGGCTGAGTGGGCGGGCAGGCAGTCTGGTTAGCATGGACGGGCTTGCTCGCAGTCTTGGTTGCCGTCTTGCAATTGTCAAGTTACTTGTGGCCGTCTCGCAGTCAGAGCCGTCGTAGTGAGTCCCAGACAGCCATTCTCTTCCCCGCAGCAGACAACAATGCCAGCCTCGAGGTTGAGCCTCCGGTGCAATCCTTTCGGCCAAGCCTTTTGCAGGCGCACTGGCCCAGGCTCGTCTCATCTGTGCGGGCGACGCGGTCGCAATGGCTGTTCTGCCGACGGGACGGACCTCGAACCTGGGCTGTGGAGCCACACAAAGAAGGCGCGTGAGAGATGAAACTAACTGAAAGTAACCTTACCTAGTTAGTGGTGCTTCTCCGTATCAGAGCGCACGGGGAAACGCCCATTGATGGATGTCGTGTTCGAGTCGCAGAGCAGAGGGCCAAGCAGCAGGTGGCTTCGATCCCGACAAAGAAGGCGAGTCGAGATGGATGCGCAGGTCAACAAACGGGCAGGCGAAGTGGTGGTGTTTGTGGTGTGGGATGGGTTTTGCTAGACCAGGTCAGGTCCCAGAAGCGCAAAAGGGCGGGGGCAGGGGAACCCGGGGGTGGATTTGGGCGAGCAGAGGCTAGACGAGAGAGGTCGGGCAGGGCAGGGCAGGGCAGGGGGCGGCCGTGGAGGAAGGGCGGAAGGAGACGACTAGCGAGAAGCACAGGGCTCTTAGCCCAGCATCAGCACCGGCAGACCACGGCAAGGTACCCGCGCGGTGGGTCTAGCGACGAATGGAGAAGCGGGTGCGACGATGGCGGGCGAGGAATGGCCGTTGCACTCTGTTCTGGACAGCTTCCCTGTCTGCGAGGCACTAGAGACGACTGAGAGGACCAGTCAGGGGAACAGGGTGCGCCCAGCCAGGACATGCAGCGCACACGGTAGTACACACAGTAGATGCAAATGTGCTCTGCCGGGCAAGCAGCAGGCTGGCAGTCACGCAGTGTGGTAGTGTGGCAGCAGGCTGGGAAATACAGCAACGCTACTGGTCCGCCTCCCCACTCACACCTGGCTGGGTATTATCGAGCAGTCCCCAGCCACCAACCTGTGGCTCCTGTGGGCTGAGGAGGGTGGTGTGGAAAGCCGAGACTGTTCCGTCAGGGGATTTGCTTTCCGATCCGTCGTCAGACCTTTGGGGGTGGCGAGGCCAAGCAGCGACTTTGAGAGCGGCGCAAGGGGCAGTGGGAAGCGACCATATGCCACAGCCCGTCTCGTCCATCACCTATGCTGCGCAAACTAGTACGGGGATGGGGGCGTGGAAGGTTGCTGGGGCGCACCGCTGTAGGTGACTGAGGTACTGAGCACAAACCAAGGCCGACCACTCAGCGCCGTGTCATTATCTCACAGATCAAGGAAGGGATCATCCTAGAATCAACCTGGCTCGAGCACCGTGGGCCAATCGCGGGATTCACAGTGTCTTTTCTCCGGCTCAACGCTCAACTAGACTAAGCCGTCTCTGAACCTTGGTGCGCCGGTTGAATCCCATCGTTGCAGTCGACACGCAGCCGCCACCGTGCTTGCCCACGGTGAACCTTGGCCGTCGTGTCGTTGCCTTTTGGGTTTACGCGTCCGCCCAGAAGAAATGTTATGCTTTCTCCATGGCTATTTTTATTTCCCAGATGAGATAGTCCAGAGTCAACCAAATGAGGCGCTGCTATTATCGGGTTATACAGCATCATAAGTCCACGTTGTCCATGTCAGACAAGGACGGCAGGCGGCAGCGTGTGCACGGCTAATGCGTATGTCTACCCCCAACGCTCGGTCCAGGCAAAATCAGAGTCTCACGCACCCGTCATCCAGTCCCCTCCCCAGTCCTCTCGTATCCCGCTCGCTCGCGCAGACAGGCGTGACTGCGAGCCCGCCTGCAGACTGCAGACGCAGGGGCGAGCAAGCGAACAAGCGAGCGGGCAAGGGGTCCCACCCAGATAGACCGCCGCAAACAGGATCGGCGGGAAAGCCAATGACGTTTGCTCCCAGGTTTGCTTCGCCCGTGGCTATAGTAGCCACCAGGAAATCGGGAGGCGAACAACACATGACCGATGGGCAATTTGATTTTCCCGATACCGCCAGCAAGGGATACGAGAGGCGCACACTACCAGCGACTACGTGCTCACTCCCATTTCCAGGGCATTGTGTTCGGATTCATGTGTTCATGCCCTTTTTGGTCGCCGTCAGGCATGAAAAAGAAGCCAAGTGGAGCATTGCTTCTAGAAAACATGGCACCAGCCAGCCATGGTCTAGCGCCAGCTCTGCTTGCCCCTCCAATACGCCAATACGAGCTTGAAAACCTTTCATCCTGTCACGAACGCCACCTTTTTTTCTTTCTTTAGCTGCTGTCGATGTGCTCGTCCGCTAATTCCACCACGGCGCATGAGTGGGACCTCGACTTGTTTTTTTTTTTGTTTTTTCCTGGTGGGCATCCTCCCGCAGGGTCCTCGTCCCCTCATCCTCCAGAATCTTCTCTCCGTGTTTCAATATCAATCCTTGCCAATATCATCCGTAGATATATCCGACCCGCCCAAGGAACCACTTGCACAAAGTTCTCGCGTTTGGGCCTGGCATGCGTCTTCTCGGATCCGCCGTCGCCGTCCAACGAGAAGGACAGACAAAGGCCGTGCCGCCTCAAAGGCCGCACATAATTCATGCGGCTTGGCCTCTTCGGGTCAAAACCCGGGCCGCCAGAATGTGCTCCCTGCCGACATACGTGCTTTGCTGGGAATGGATGGTTTGCAGGTTTCGGACGATCTCAATCTCCATTTGCTAAGCATTGGCCTGAAATACAACATAAATTCTCCGCCGCCGTTGAACGGTGACGACTCTCCAGTAGGCTTCTGATTTTGAGCATTTGATTGCATGCATCAAGACGAACAATCTGCAGGCCGTTATCGCACTTTTTTGCTTTTTATTTTCTCGCAGCTGCCGCACGCATTGGATACCAGCCACGGAGAGCAGATGATGTGGCGGTGGATCATACGTTGCCCTGCAGCCGCATAAACAGCACAAAGTTGCGTGCAAGAATTGTGACCCAATGCCGGTCAGTGTTTGGCTCTGACCCGCGGGCGCCACGCAGGCAAGACAGACGGCCGTCGGGGGATTTGGCTTGCCCTCCGGGTCTCAAACTCACCGACAAGCACCAGTCCCGGAAAGGCCAGGCAGGTCTGCGGCACACGGACCGTGGCGTTGTGATGGCTTTGACGAGAATATCCAGTCGGACGTCTCCCCGAGCGGCCATGCTGGTGCTCGGGCCCTGCAGTCAGAGCCCTCACGGTAGCCTCCTGTCGTCCCGACGCGCGAATCAAGTGGCGCCGGCTGCCCTTGCACGGCGTCTGGGCGATGAGAGTCAGGCACATCTTCTGCGTCGGGTGTGGTTCGTGCTCAGCTGAGCTTGTCAAACTGCGGGAGGACGGACAAGGCCGACAGCCCTGCTCGGAGGTTAGCGCCCGATAAAGGGAAGTGCACCGAGAGGGAGGCGGCGCTGTATTGCAGCTAGAGGCGGACAGCAAGACATTGCAATCTACTGGCAATATGGACATGGAACTAGCAAGCCTTGGTAATGTCTGCGAGGGTCATTGGTAGCCAATCTTGGCCCATGCCGTAGCCGGCAGCGGCTGCATCTGAAGCCATCGTCGACCAGCCTTTTATAGGGCACTTAGTAGGCCAGCCAATCACAACGTTGCTGGCTTGGGTGTCTCAATTACATGATTCCCCGAAAGGCCAATGGCATCAGCCAACCGTCCCACTTGATGGCAGCAGCTTGAGCAGCCAAAGCTGATGTTGCTAGTAACTGCGTGACACATGTTATGGTAACAGAGGCATTTATGACGAGGGTACAGTGGCTGGAGGTGAGGTGAGCGAGTGTGACGATTGGGGCTTTGTATTTCGTCGAGGCTGGTGCAGCTGCAAGGGTTAGGGTTAGAAGACCAACTGCGATCAATCAATGCCCCACCTTTGTTCCCCAGGTGACGATGGGCCCGCAGCTGCGCGTGTGTTTACGATGCAATCGATATCGGGCAAATTGTCGCTTGGATTCCCGCTCAACTCACTTTAACCTGGGAGATGCAGACGCGCAGACCCCGCACGAGGATACGCGACAAGAGACAGGTAGCCGGTGATTTCCGTCTGGAATAAAGGCAAACTCGACCTCAGCAAAACACAACCAACACACACCGCTCACCCCCCCATCAGAGTACCATATCCAACACCAGCACCATGGCGTACAACCCGCGCATGTCCATCATCCCCGCGTCGCAGCAGCAGGGCCGCGGCAAGGCGGGGAAGCGCGAGAAGGAGGAGACGGACCTGATGATCCTGCGCGACGCCGAGATCGTGGGCTGCATCCGCGACCTGGGCTTCCCCAAGTTCGACTTTGCCGACCTCGAGAAGCCGAACCCGCTGCAGGTGCAGATGATCTTCGAGGTCTTCGCCGAGAAGACGATGAACGTGACGCGCGAGACGGTCGACCCGGCCATGCGCGCGGCGGCCGACGGGGTGTGCGGCGAGGACCTGGGCGAGGCGCTGATGCCGAGCGACACGCGCAACCTCATGGGCTTCTACGCCGCCTTCCGCCAGCTGCTCGTGGCCTGCGGCGTGCCCGACTTCAGCTTCTCCGACATGTACAAGCCCACGCACCGCCGCCTCGTGCACCTGCTCTCGTACCTCATCAACTTTGTGCGCTTCCGCCAGGGCCACGCCGAGCTCTTCGTCGAGCACTACGACCGCGTCAACGACGCAAAGGCCCGCATCGACGAGCTCTACGCCGAGAACCAGGACATGGACGCGCGCATGGACGGCCTGCGCCGCAACCGCCGCAACATGGAGGCCCTGGCTCAGGAGAAGACGCGCCGCAACGAGGACCTGAAGCGCCGCCTGCTCGAGCTGCGCCGCAACCAGGAGCGCGTCGCCGCCCGCCTCGAGGACGCCAAGGCCAAGAAGACGGAGCTGGCCGGCCGCCTCGAGGCCCGCACCGCCGACAGGCTAGCCCTCAAGCAGGAGAGCGCCAAGCTGCGCCCCTACACCCTGCAGAGCCCCTCGGCCCTGCAGGCCAGCCTGGCCGACCTGTCGGCCACGCTCAACGCCGAGCGCGCCCACATCGACTCGCTCGACCGCCGCGCCCGCGCCCTGCAGACCTCGTCCGACTCCTTCACCGTCGTGTGTGCCGACGTGACCTCGTGCATCAAGCTGCTCGAGGAGGTGGGCGCCGAGCTGGGAAAGGAGGACGAGGAGACGGCCCGCAAGTCGCGCCAGCGCGACGCCCTGGCCGAGCGCGGCGCCGGAGTAAAGGCCATCGAGCGCGAGGAGTCGATGCTGCAGCGCCAGCTGGCAAAGTGGAACGAGCGCACCGACCGCCTGCGCGAGCAGAGCGCCCAGCGCGCCCACGAGGCCAAGGAGAAGATGGAGAGCCTCAAGGCCGTGCACAAGCGCCTGAACGAGGAGAGGACCGAGAAGGGTCGTGATATGGAGAGGCGCCGCGTGCGAATCGAGCAGACCGAGAAGAAGGTTTGTATTTCTGTCATTGATGGTCTTGTTTTCTAGCCACCGGTTTACTGACTCTGCTGCCACTCACAGATGCAAGATCTCAAGGAAAACATCGAGAGGGAGGTCCACGACGCACATGACGAGTATCTGAAGCTCGAGGCACACATGAAGCTGTACATGACCGAGATGGAGCAGGCATTCTGACCCTGCTATGTCTTGGCCTCATATCTTATCATTCTGTCTGTTTGGCTTTGGATACCCTGTGTAAAATGCGGATCTAGGATACCCGGAGTATGGCGTTGGACTTCACGGGTAAAATTATGATAAATGAGTTATGCGAGTTGGATTTTTAGGCCAACATGTCTCTTTTGGGTGGAAACCATTATCAAGTACATAATGGTATTTTTTTATATTTTTTTTTTGTAGATTTTGCACGGCTCTCCTTTCTTATAAAATTAGCATCACCAGACAGCCTTAACATGTGCTGTATGATCAGTTCCTCCCCGCGACTCGTCTCAAAAGCAAAACCACCTCCCCAAGACCATTCTGACAGGGACCGTCCGACCCGACCACCCCTGGCCCTCGCCATCCCGTCCTAGTCGACGTGCGGCCATGTTGAGCACCGGCATCTCCTCGGACAACAGGCCCTCAAGGTCGACGCGGACAAAGACCCTGTCTCCGTCCGGGGCATTCCTCTCCTCCTGGCCCTCCTCGTCGTCTTGCGTCTGCACCTCCCTTATCGCCCGGACCGCCGGCTCCACCACAACGGCCTCCATCCCGGACCTGTGCGCGGCCTCGACCAAGCAGGCTGCCGTGCTCCCGAGCCCCTGGGCGTTCCACTCGCTCGTATCGCGGTGCAGCTCCAGCAGCCCGTAGATTAGGAGCAGTGGCGTGGGCGGTGCAGCCGACGGCCCCTCCGGTGCCGGCGGCGGCCGGGCCTTGGAGGATGGATCGGCCTCGGCCGAGAAGACGGATAGGAAGGCGCGCAGGTGCGAGACTGTGGGCACGAAGACGGTCCGGATGTGCCGCGCCACGGCGGTCTGGCGCAGGGGCGTCGAGAGGATCGTCCTGGCCCTTTCAGTGGTGGCGGCGTCGGCCGTGGGTGTGGGCTGGGCTGCCTCTTCTGGGCGGCTGTTCTGACTATGGTCTTCTGCTTCTTGTTTTTCTGCGGGCCCTTGAGGGATATTGTCGTCTGGCTGTTCTTGTGACGATGGTAATGTGTCGACTCGGGTCTCTCCAGTAGCTTCGTCCAAAAAGGACGATATGAATTCCGCTCGTGGGATACATACCACAAGCGTTGTGGGGTATTTGTGTTGGTCGAGAATGTATGAGATGAGCTCTGAAGGAAGGGCAGGCGACAGGACTTTGGGGAGAAAGGCCGCCATAGTGATTGATCATGAGTAGTAGGGCTGTCACTTGGATGAGTTGTGCCTTTTCTCCTTCCATTCGCGCACACCGACTCTCCCGTACCACAGGCACGAGGGTCGCCATGCAGTTTACATGGTGGAGACTGGGTTTATTGAATCATGATCAACGTCGAAGTCCTCGATTTGCTGAAAGACAATCCGATTCAGCCTGGTGTTGTCTAACAAGTTACAGCTGAACCTCTGAGATTAGCGAACCAACAGCAACGCCAGCCCCACTCCAGGCTTCCCCCACCACGAATTGGCGCATTGCCATCACGTCACCGCCCTGAGCCGCAAACCTAAACTAGATGCCGCTGCGACCCAGGCCTAATCTCCGATCGCCTTGCCGACCTGGGAGCATCGGGCGAGCTGCGAGTCGCTGCACCCACGGCTAAGATGGAGTCCATCTCGCGAATATCTTCTCTTCTAGAGAGTGGTAGGTGTCGGCCCCTCCGAAGACACGACAGACGCACTCAGGGGCGGCCAACGAGAGCTCCCGACAGCTAACCTCAGCTTCCTCCTGCTCGCTACCAGCCCGCGAGCTCACCCTCGATGCGGCAGCCTCGGCGGCCCGGAGCACGCGGGGCTCCGGCCGGCCGCTGGACAGGGCTCAGACCAAGAAGCTCTTGGACAGCCGCAATGAAAGGGAGGCGCTAGACGGCCTGCGGAGGGTCATCGCTGTACGTATGCCGTCGCCGTCGCCACCCCTCGTCGCCCCCGTTCGGGACCGGCTAACACGCAGCTGCGCCCCGCACAGATGATGTACCGTACGCCCAGCAAGACGCTGCCCTTCTTCTCGTCGGTCGTCAAGAACGTGGCGTCGCCCAACCTCGAGATCAAGAAGCTGGTCTACATCTACCTGCTGCACCACGCCGAGCAGGAGCCCGACCTGGCGCTGCTGTCCATCAACACGATCCAGAAGTCGCTCTCGGACAGCAGCCCGCAGGTGCGCGCCCTGGCCCTGCGCACAATGTCGGGCATCCGCGTGCCCGTCATCAGCCAGATCGTGTCGCTCGCCATCAAGAAGGGCACTGGCGACATGAGCCCCTTCGTCCGCCGCGCCGCCGCCCTCGCCATCCCCAAGTGCCACCGCCTCGACCCGTCCCAGCTGCCCCAGTTGCTCGACTACCTGTCCACCCTGCTGGGCGACAAGCAGTACTACGTCGCCGGCGCCGCCGTCACGGCCTTTCTCGAAATCTGCCCGGACCGTTTGGATTTGATACACAAACACTACAGGGGCCTCATCAAGAAGATTGTCGACATGGACGAGTGGTCCCAGCTCGCCACACTGCGAATGATGACCGTCTACGCGAGAAAGTGCTTCCCCCGCCGGACGCGGGTGGTGCCCAAGACGGCAAGGGCAGGCAAGGGAACCACGGCAGATCTACAGGATTTCTACGGCGAGAGCGGAAGCGGAAGCGGCGGCAGCGGTGGCGTCTCTCCAGCCGCCGTTCAGGAAGCAGGAGAGAGGATGGTGGTACTGGACCCCGACCTCGAGCTCCTCCTCACGAGCATCAAGCCGCTGCTGCAGAGCCGCAACTCGGCCGTGGTCATGGCCGTGGCGCGCTGCTACGTGGCGCTGGGCACCGACGCGCACATCTCGGCGACCATCGGGCCCCTGATAGCTCTGCTCCGGGGCCCGCAGGACACGCAGCAGGCGGCACTACACAGCATCGCATCCGTGTGCCTGGAGCGGCCGGCCGAATTCGCCCGCTACGCGGCACACTTCCTGGTGCGCGCGTCGGACGACTGCGCCGTCTGGGAGCTCAAGCTCGAGGTGCTCACGCTCGTCTTCCCGCACGCGGTGCCGCACGTGCGGTCCCTGGTGCTCTCGGAGCTCGAGCACTTCTCGCGGGGCGCGCACGACCCGGCCCTGGTGCGCGCCGCCGTCCGCGCCATCGGCCGCTGCGCCCAGGCCGACCCCTCGGCGGCGCCCCGCTGCCTGCGCCTGCTTCTGGGCCAGGTCTCGGGCCCGGACGGCGCGCTGGCGGCCGAGAGCCTAACGGTGATCCGCCACCTCATCCAGCGCGACCCGGCCGGCCACTCGGCCACCGTCGTGCGCCTGGCTCGGAACCTGGACTCGGCCACCGACCCGGCCGCGCGCGCGGCCATCATCTGGCTCGTGGGCGAGTTCTCGAGCGGCAACGGGCGCGGCAGCATCGCCGCTGATGTGCTGAGGATCCTACTCAAAGATTTTGCCTCCGAGGCCGAGGTGGCCAAGCGGCAGATCCTGCTGCTGGCGGCAAAGGTGCACCTGCACTACCTGAACAGCATCGCTGGCGACGACAAGGACAGCAGTAGCAAGAAGAAGGTGCCAGTCGCTAAAACTGGATCGGATGAGGCCGAAGGCATGATCAACGAAGGATGGGGCTCCGAAGCGGTCGCGGCGGCGGCCGAGCCGGAAGCGGACGAGGAAGAGGAGCATCCAACAGCAAAGCTGTGGAACTACGTCCTACTTCTGGTCCGCTACGACACGTCGTACGATCTGCGCGACCGAGCGCGCACCTACCGGGCGCTGCTAGGTGTCCCACAGCTGGCGACGCTGATGCTCCTGGCGCCCAAGCCTGCGCCGCAGGCCCCCAGCCCGTCCGAGACGCGCCGCGGCTACACGCTGGGGTCTGCGGCGCTGGCGCTCGCGGGCGGCGGCGGCGTGCATGGCCTCAGGGACTACGAGCCGCTGCCCGACTGGGTCGAGGAGGGCCGGCAGCCGGACCCGCGGCTGCGCGGAGAGGCCGACGCCGGAGCCGGGGTCTCGCCCGGCGGCGCCGGGTCCTCGTACGGCGGTGGACGGGGTGCCGCCCCCGCGGCTGAGAGCCTCGACAGCGCCGCCGGCCAGAGGGGCCTGTCACCCGCGGCGGGAGCGGCCAATGCGCAGAACGGGCTTGGGGAGAAGAGTCTGGACGACTGGCTCGCCGAGAGCGACGGTGGCGAGGAGGAGAGCGAAGAATCTGAGGAAGGGGAGGAGGAGGAAGACGAGGAGGAGGAAGAAGAGTCTGGAGATGAGGACGGGGAAGAAGAGTCAGAGGAGGAAGAGAGCGACGATGACCAAGGTGAAGGCGACAGGTTAGTCGCTTCATGACATGGCCACAGGCCAAGATGACGATTTGGCTGCTGTGTGGAAGGAGGGTGAATGCAACTACAAACATGAAGCATCACGAATCAAAGTCACATGAAAGTCACATAAAAGACCAGGACACGAGCCTTTCTCCTATTCGCTGTGTCCAATATCACAGGCGCTACCTAGGCGCCTCCGTGACTAGCATTGCCCGCTTTCAGCCTGGGCCACGAACCCAGGACCTGTCCAAGTAAGATGCATCTACGCGGCCTTGCTTTGAACCAGGCCCAGGTCGTATGGCAAAGTGGGTCCGTATTGCCAATGTGGGGCGATGGGACGTTCGCCAACTTTGACTGGTGGAGGAGGCTGGACGAGCAGACCCAAGGCTGGCTATGAAGCTCCCCAAAAAAAACCGGCGAGCTTTCGAATTTCTGGTCGCGCGAACAAATTCAACGCTGTCGTCACCACCACACCCTTCTACAATAAGAAAGGACCGCATTAAACGTCTGCCTGGAACCGGCCTGGTAAGCCCAAAGTTCACTGCCCGGGCAGCAACCCCCCCCTCCTCCCTCTCCAATCTCGAGGTCGTGACGCGGCCCATATCCGCTTCGAGGCGGTTCAAAAACCACCACCTCGAAAGCTTCCCCCCGTACCCGAGCTTGAGCAGACGTGCTAACCGTTGCTATTTCCCCCCGCGCGCGCGCAAGACCATCCACGAAATCACGACGCCCCCCATCCTCCCGAGCTCGAGCCAAAAAAAACCGCCAAGATGGACTTCTCAGACTCATTGTGAGATGCGATCCTTCCCCTGGCGCACCTCGCGCCGCCCCCCCTTATCGCTCGCACTTTCGTCCCCCTGTGCTGACCAGGGCGTTTTTTTTCGCGCGCACCCTTGACCACAGCCGCATCGTCAACCTCGCGGTTGGCGTCATCATGATCCTGGGCGGCATCTCGCAGTACTTTTACGACACCAACGGATTGTACGTTATGTTCTTTTACACTGGGCTTTTAGACCGCCACAACCCCGGCCACCACGCCCCGGAAGCTTACAATAGTCGCAAAATAACAACAGCCAAGGAGCCATCCTCGGCTCGTACATCATCATCTTTGGCCTCAGTAAGAGACACCGCCATAGCCCCCCTCCGCCGGTATCACAACTGTGGACGCCCAGCTAACCACGCGAAAACCCGCGCCCCCTGCAGTCACCGGCCTCCTCGAGTTCCAGATCCCGCCCCAGGTCTCGCGCTACGCCTCTTTCCTCTTCTCCTTCATCGGCCGCGGCATCTGTACGTTTTCATGTTTTTTTTTTCTCCGCCCGCTCCTCTAGCGTGAGGAAAAAAAAAAAAAAAAAAAAGAATAGTCACTAACAAACACCCACCTCCAAAAAAAAAAAAAAAAAAGTCTACGTCTTCGTCGGCTCCGTCCTCCTCTCCAACCACGCCCTGCGCATCATCGCCGGCTCCATCGTCGGGCTCGTCGGTGTCGCCTACGTCGCCCTCGAGTTCGTCCCCTCCATCGAGCCCCCGGCCAACATGCGCGACGCCGACCAGGGCTGGGGCGCCGAGCAGGTCTAAAAAATATATATATAAAGTTAGAGCATTTGTCCGGACTGGGTGGAGGGGGTTCAGGTCATCAGGCCTTGGCAGCAATGGTAGCAGTGGCAGCGGTGGTCACTGCATCTTTTTTTTTCAGGTTCACCACCCAGAAAATCAAGCACCAACGAGTCTATGACTGTATTGTCTGGGGGAAGGAGGAAAAAGGGGCAAAATGGGCGTGGCGCCAGGTTAAACGACAGCATGGGGAACACGTCACGTTACGTTCAGGAAGCGGGTGGGACAGGAAATGGAGAGCAGGTCAACGAGAGGCGGTTTTTATATAGGTAAAGCTGTATTGTGTGATGCTGGCGATTTCATCATTTGTCTTCGAAGCACGAGCATGTTTTTCTCCGCGCCTTACTTTGCCCTGTGTGGCCCGTCGCTGGAATGGCTGTCGTGGATCCCGAATTGAGACCAACCCTGACTCAGGGGCTCTGGGGGAAAACACACGAGCAGTCACTGCAATCTGCGTCAAGACATATAAAGGTATGTATTGGTTCGGCTTTTGTATGTGGGCTCTCTGGATGGTAACGGTACCAGGGCGCCCAAAAAAATCAGGCATGAAATAAGTAGTGGCTCCCATCCCTTAACCAAACGATCCAACATGGTAAACCCCATGCTCTGACGAGCGGTCCGTGTATCGACAGAAGATTTATCTGGGACGGCTTCAACTCTACGGTTTCTTGGCACGTCGTGTGCCCTTTTTTCGTATTTGATTTTGCGTTTTTCGTAGCTTCGTTGTCATCGTCCTGATTCCCCAAAAACAAAAACGTGACGGTATCCGAGACGGAAGAAAAGGAAAAGAGAAAAAAAAAGCCGGATGTTATTGCAGCTCCGCAAGCTCGCGTTCTTTGGCAGCAAGCACCTGCCGCATGGTCTCAGCCTCGCGCAGGAGCTCCGCTCGTCGGTCAGCCTTAAGGCGATCCTCGTCGAAGCCGACGGCGTTGCCGCTACCGCTCCTCCCGCCGTTACGCAACGAGGCCGGGAGAAAGGGACCGCCGCCGCTGGGAGCCGGCGCGGCTGACGCCGGCGAAGGAATCATGCGGCGCGACTTGTCCATCGGCGGCAGTTCGTCCCCGGTGGCCAGCGGCCCATTCAGCAGCGATTTTATCGATGAAAGCCGTTTTGACACACTCCCGCCCTCTTGATAGGGGGTCACGTCGCCTCCGCCGCTGGACGGCGAAGGCCCATCGCCCGACGCCGCCGAGAAGGAGCGCTTGCGGCGCGAGGGTGAAAGGAACGACGCAGGGGAGAGCGAAGACTGTCGGTCGTCGTTGGGAGTTGCGGGTATGGAAGTGAGCGGAGCGAGACGGTTGTCGTCTGTGAGAGACTCGGACACTGGCTGCGGCGGTTGGGCGCTGTGCGGCCGTGTGTGGTATTGGGTTAGGTCGCCCTTGGGCAACGGGGACGACTGTCTGCCTTGACGAAGGACCGTTTCGGGAACAAGTGACATGGCTTGCTCCGGCTGACGGCGAAGACCTAGGTTGACGGAGCCATCAGAGTTAACGGAGCCGCGCTCCATCAGCGCGTCGGGCTGAGGAGATGGCGAGGCCCCTCCTTCGGCGCTGGGGCTACCACCATCGCCGGGAGCCGGTGAGCCCTGCTGCGACGCCGGCAAAACTCGTTTCCTCCGCTTGATCACAGACTTCTTCATCGTGACGGGTCTGTGGACCCCGTGAAGCTTATAGTATAATCCTGAGCGGGAAGAGGACAGTCAGTGAGATAGGTTCTCGTCTTTTACACCCCCGCAGGATCCGCATACGTACCACATGCGTTGCAAATAGTGTGGCCGCTCTCATCTCTCCTCCACAAAGGGGTGATGGTTGTCCCACAGTTCTGGCATGCGATGACGACGGTGGTGCTCTGGCCCTGGATATTCAAGGCGCCAATGTCGACGGCATTGGGCTCCTCCGCTCCAGCCTGGCTCCCGCACCTTGCCGACGATCCAGACACGTTCAGGTTGGCGCTTTTTGCTATCCTGTTGTTGTATGCAGGACAGCCGCTGCAGCCTTCTGCACCACCGGTACCATTACAGCGGCCGCCCCCTGGACAGCTGCCAGCAGGGGTCTGCTCGGCTGTGACGTAGGTAGCACCAGTTACGCTTGGGAGCGGCTGAGAAGCAGCTTTAGGCGAGGCTCGGTCAGCAACCCTCTGGGCGCCGGCGGGCACGAAGTTTGGCGGCCTCTTCAGGTTCGTTGGCCTCGCAGCATTCCGCGCCTTCAGATACAGCCCACAGGCATTGCAGATAGTCGCACCCTGTGGTGATCTCCTCCATAGTGGGGTCTGGGTCGTCCCGCAGTTGCTACACCAAGCAGGGTCAGGATCGCGCCTCTGGTATTTTCTCTGAAGCATGTTCTGCTCTTGCAGTATCTTACCTGCAAACCTGGCCTGACTGGCCCTGTGGCCCTTGTGCGCTCATTGCCTGCACACTCTCCGCCCCCGCATCGGATCCCGCATCATTCATGAGAGACGCCGGGCTGGGTGGCTGACCCATGCTGGACGGCCCCCTCTGGGACGAGGGAGACGCGCCCTTGTCCCCGTCCCTGACGTCGCCGTCTCCGAGGGGCGGCGAGCGCCTGTCGTGGTGAGAAGTTGCGGTAGAGAGGGTTTTCGAGGGCATCGGCGGTCGGCTTGGGAGTGCGGTCCGAGTGTTCCCGGGATTCGATCGAGGAATGGGGCTGTTCGACGTAGACGACATCTCGCCGATAGCCATGCTCAACCGTTCCCGAAACAAGGCGACCTCCGCAAGATGTTTGCGCAAACGTTGCGGAGCTCAAGTGTCCGCGAAAGCTTCTCCGCCAAACCAGGAGTGAGCGGAGCTTCGAGCGGTAGGCCAGATGTTCAGGAGTAACCGAAGAGGGACAGGACCAGATATTCAGGTGTTCAAGTCAGCCGTCGATAGTCGGCGGTGGGCTAGGACAGGTCCAACAGCACCAGCAAGCCTCAGCCGCGCGCGAGAGGGGGGTAGCGATGCTAAAACCGGCGGTAGGCGCTTCGTGTGGCTCGAGTGCTGGATAGCGCGATACTAGCAGCCAGGAATCTAGCTTGCGCGGTCCGTGTACGCAGGCGATGGTGATCAGCCGCCTAGTTGGTGGGGTGTTGAGGCGGATAGATGCCCTAGCTGGTGGAGGGCTCGCGGCGCCCTGTCGTCGGGCTCGAGTGGTTCGGAAAGGATCGGCAGCAGAAAGACAGTGCAACACAAGACGCACAAGTCCGGATCTGGGGTTCCGAGTTTGGGCAACACAGACCAAGATGGGCAAGGGTGTGGATGTCAAGCGTTTTAAGAACCAGGAGCCACTCTTTCTGCAGACGGCGGCCTTGGGCAAGTGTTAGAAGGAGGGCGGCGCGGCAAGAGGTGCGTCACCCTGCGCCCTGGGCCGTCGACTCCGTGTAAGCACCAGACCTGTCGATGCGGCGGGCGACGAGGCCATGGGAGGAGTGTGTGGAAGAGGAGCTGGATGGCGGGAGCCGGCAAACGGGTCAGCCGAAACGGTGGGTTGGGCCTGCGGCGTCGGGCTGCCGCTGTTCGGAGGAGGCGTTGGCCGAGGATCCCAGGGGAAACGGAGGGAGCAAGAGAGGGGGGAGATCCGAAAATAGCTAGGTGTTCTGGCAATCTTAGAGGAATGGCCCCCGTGAGAAGGATGGCTGCGATGAGGGAGGCGATGACCGAGGGGGAGGCGTCAAGGCTGGCCTTGCAAGGGCCGGACTTTCCCTTGGTTTGGTATGCGAGTGCTTGCTTGCTCGGGGACGGGAACGGCCAACTGGCCAAGAGCAAGAGGGTGGAAAGTGGATTTCTTCTTCAGCCCTTTTTTTTTTTCTCCCCAAAAGGAACAGGTCCGCTGGTATGGATGCCAGAGTGGACGCAGGACCGTCTTGCTGGGCGGGCTGTGCCGCGGCCAGAGTTTGGACCTGGATACAGCAAAAGAAAAGTCGGGGCTTGCACTGCCCAGCTGGGGTCGGAGTGAGCAAGCTCTCGGCAGACGACAGCAGCACCACCCGGGGATGCGACACCCGACAAACAGCCCCCCTAGAAAGGTTCCAAGGAGGCCGAGCTGGGTGCTGGGCAGGGTTGATGAAAGGGGAAGAAGCGTCACACCACCAGCGCCTGACGATCCCACGGTCCGTCCCAGGCAGGCGGACAACGTTGCAGCGCTCTGCCAGTGCTCGCCTTGTCTTCTCCTTAGGCTGACTCTCCAGGGCCGGACAGACCCCCCGACGGGCAAGTGCCTGGGGAAGGGCTGGGCTGGGCCAATCAGAGCAGGTGCAAATGTAATATGAAGCCAGCGGTGTGGCCGTCGTGTCACAGTGGCGCGGGTCTGCAGG